GTAGCTTTTTTTTATAGTAGTTATAGTATGTTTTAAACTAATATAGTTCTAATTTAGCAGCTCTATACAAGAGTTGTACAACCTAAAGTATTATATTTAGTAGAAAGCTCTAGCATATCTCCTTTAGTAGCTTTATATATAGCGTGCGCATAAGCTTATCTATTAATTAGATATATACTTATGTAATATTATATAGTTTAAAATGTATTTTATATATAGCTTTTAGGCTTACTTTTATAGCTAGAAGTAGTTTCTAGCTTATCCTCTAAATAGTTAGTAACTAGGTAAAAATTTCTCCCTTTTTTTTATTTAAGTAGCTAGTAAACACTAGGCAGGATTTTTTATATAGTTAAGTTATTTTGCCTTTTACTTTTTATATAAAGCAAAGGTTAAAAATCTAACTTTTATACTTTATTAAGTTATACACTATAACTTTAAAAGTGCTATTAGTAATTAAAGTGTTTATTTCTATATAGTTTAATTTTTTAAATAGTTTTTTAGGTATAGTAATTATACTATCTATATAAAGCTTAATAAATAAGGCCTAATTATTTTTTTTTTTTAGGTTAAGAATATCTAGTCTAGACTTTATGCAGGTTTCTTTTACCTTTTACTTTTTCTAGTATTTATATTTTCTCTTTGCACTAGTGTAGCATTACTATTCTAAAGGGCTTAGTCTGTAGTAGGCTTTAGTTTTACTTTTATAATATTTTTATAAAGCTATTCTTTTTTCCTTTTCTTTAGAAAATTCTTTTATATAAGGATTAGTTTATCTAGGTTATTTATTATAAGTAGGTTGTCTTTTTTTTTTTTTTTATAGTATAGTTTAACCTGTGTATATTAGAGCTTTAGTAGGCTATTTTTTTTTTTAATAATAATGTCTTTTTTTTTAATGCTTTTAATTTTATATAAGCTAGTCTAGCCTTTTTTCTCTCTCTATGCTATAATTTTTAAGCTAAAAAGAAGGTTAAGAACTTTATATATTATAAAGCTATTATAAGTGTTAATTACATAATTAATGTTTACTTTTATATAGTTTTTTAAAGTATCTTTATTACCTTTTATATAGCACTTACTTATGTAATAATATTTAGTAATAGTAGAAAGTCTAGGTTAATTCTTAGGTATGCCCTAAAAACTAGCAGCGTGGGTACTAGACTGTGTAGGCTAGCTATGTTGTTTAGAGCCTTAACTGCTATTTGCAGAATAGCCTTATTATCTGTACAGTTACCTAGCTTAGTCTTTAGAATGTTAAACACTTATTAAAAAGGTGTATGTACATACTTAACTTTTCTAACTACCTAATGTGCTTTTATAGGCATCTGCCTACATATAGCTCTTATAATTTTTGCATAAGC